GGTCGCATTTATGATCCGAATTGGATGAAATTTGGCATAGGTCACTTATTCGGCCCAAGGACGAACCCTATTGAAATTGGGAAAAATCGGTTCAGATTTAGATATAGCTCCCATATATATATTTACCCGATTTAATGTAAACGGTCCCTATATATCATTCGATTTGCATGAAATTTGGTACAGCCTAATCATTTAGGTCTAAAATGATGTGTGTAAAATTTCATAAAAATCGGTCCAGATTTAGATATAGCTCCCATATATAGTTTCGTCCGATTTCATGTAAATGGTGCCCCAAAGTCCTAATATATCTTTCAATTTGCACGAAATTTGGCATAACGTACTGAATTGAGCCTAGAATGATGTCTCCCAAGTTTCGTGAAAATCGGTCCTGATTTAGATATAGTTCCCATATATAGTTTCGCCCGATTTCATATAAATGGTGCACCAAAGTCCCTATATATCCTTCGATTTGGACGAAATTTGGCGTAACGTACTGAATTAAGCCTAGAGTGATGTCTGTCAAGTTTCGAGAAAATCGGTCCAGATTTAGATATAGCTCCTATATATAGTTTCGTCCGATTTCATGTAAATGGTGCCCCAAAGTCCCTATATATCTTTCGATTTGCACGAAATTTGGCGTAACGTACTGAATTGAGCCTAGAATGATGTCTGCCAAGTTTCGTGAAAATCGGTTCTGATTTAGATATAGCTCCCATATATAGTTTCGTCCGATTTCATATAATTGGTGCACTAAAGTCCCTATATATTCTTCGATTTGCACGAAATTTGGCATAACGTACTGAATTGAGCCTAGAGTGATGTCTGCCAAGTTTCGATAAAATCGGTCCAGATTTCTATATAGCTCCCATATATAGTTTCGTCCGATTTCATGTAAATGGTACACCAAAGTCGCTATATATCTTTCGATTTGCACGAAATTTGGCATAACGTACTGAATTGAGCCTAGAGTTATGTCTGCCTTGTTTCGTGAAAATCGGTCCAGATTTAGATATAGCTCCCTTTTAATATAGATTTACTTTAAGTAATTGACGCACCAAGGAACCAATAGGCTGATAGGAACAAAACGTTCTGAAATTAGTATAACCTAACCTGTGACAAGTTTTTTTTTTGAAATCGCTTAATATTTGGATAGAGCTTCCATATATATTTTCGCCCGATTTCAAGTAAATTGTTAGTCAGTTTGACATCAATTTTTGCACAACTTACAAAATTTAGCATAGAATTACGCAGTTGCGTTTTCTAGAATTACAGACATAGCCCAACGGATGACCTATTTATATTTGTTTGAACTCGATTTACATACTTTATGGATAGATCTAGGTAGATTCACATTTAGATAAATATCACATATTTTATTTCATTCAATTTCATGTTAATAATCCTGTTTAATATACCCATAGTGGTGAAGGGTATCATATAGTCGGCACCGTCCGACTTTACTACTTTCCTTACTGGTTTTTCCTCTTTACATGTGTCGCTACAAAGGACTTTTGGACCTTTGTTGTTATTATTTTTTTTTTTTTGTTTTGCTTTATGGTGTTGATAGTCCTGAAAGAGTTATTGAATAAAAGTCAATTTCAATTTTCTTTCTTTTTTCTAAAGGACTCATTCATTTGCATAATGAGATGTATAAAAACACACACACACGCACTCAAGAAATCCTTAAAGGATTCCCATTGAGTATGTGTGTATTTTCTTAACTTTTCCGCTGTTAATGTTTCAACGCCCTAACACTTTTCCCCCATTCCTTTTGGTCCTCTCATTTTCTATAGCCATAATATATCAATTTGGCAGAGGGGGGTAATGGCAGAGGCGCACATATCGACTCCTGTCAAGGAATCTTTTGCTAACAGTTGTGTTTTGGGTTGTGCGCCTTTTAGCTTTGGTAATTAATTTCAATTTTTTCGCCGTTTCTTCCTTAATATGATTAACAGCCAGGACTACACAACTCTTTGCTTTACTAGCATGCACCCCGGGTGAAGGGGTGAAATGCCATTATCATGGGTGCATTCGATACACAGTATGTGGATGGTTGGTTGGTGGTGGTGGTGGTGGCTGGTAGTAACACCATTCATCGTGAGTCCTTTGGAAATTGTTACAAAAATTCAATAAAAAGGGGTTCCTTTTCCCCTTTCCCGCTTTTGTTGTTGTTGTTGTTGTTGTCCTGAAGTGTTAGTTAAATTTATTTATTTTTTTCCCTCTCGCTGGCATTTGTTTGGGATAATAAACTTGTACTCAACAATAATGTTTTTGAAATGTGGTCATATGTTATTCCCTTATCCCTTCAGATGCATATACATATGTATGTATGTAGATATGTTTATGGTGTATGTGTGTGTGAGTTCCCTCATACATCATTTGTAATTTTTTTTCTTGTTGGTTGGACAGGAATAAAAACATTTGCATTGTTTTTAGTAATTTGCCTACCATTGTTTGGAATAATTTTACAATATTTCAAAAAAAAAAATTGAATTGAAAACATTTCTGCAATTATGTATTCTCATCATTCATTATAATGTCAGAATTTGTGATTTTTTTTTAGTATTTTTATAAAGAACAAGTCGTGAATTTTTAAAAAATATTTTTTAAGTGTTAAACATGGGCATGGATTAAAAAAAAAAAATATATATATATATATATATATATTACTTAGCTGGCTTATGACAGAACTTTCATTCCATAAGCCGAGCTTAAAAAAGATTTCCAACCGCGTCGGTCTTTTGCCCAGTTTTTCCAATTTGAAAGACCATATTCGACAATGTTATCTTCCACTTGATCTTTCCATATTATTCGTGGCCTTCCCCATTCTGCGTGAACCATCAGCTGGTTCGCTTTTATATGCCTTCCGCGCTGGGACATCTTCATCCATTCTCACAACATGACCTAGCCAACGTAGTCGCTGCAGCTCAATACGTCTAGCAATGTCCGAGATGTCTGAGAATACCTGGTACAACTCATGGTTCATTAGACGGCGATATTCGACGCAGATCTTCGGCCCATAGATCTTTTGGAGAATTTTCCTCTCAAAAACTCCAAGAGCTGTCTCATTTGGTTGCGCAATTACCCATGCTTCAGATTCATATAACAACACGGGCAGTATTAGCATCTTGTAGAGTGTGAATTTGGTCTGGCGGAAGGTGGCCTTGTTTCTAAACTGCTTACTTAGCCCATATCCTTCTTCGTTTTGTTTATGGCGGTACCAAGGTATATAAAATCTTTGACTACCTCTAAGTTGTAGTTCTCAAGTTTCACAGTTGGTCCGAGTCTGGTGTACAGAGTGTCATTTCTGTTCACTTTTGCCTCGGTATGGCCCAATAATGTCATTAACCATTGGCTTCAATCGTTCACACAGCACACTGGATAGCACTTTATATGCGATGGGAGGAAGTCTAATTCCTCTATAGTTGGCACATATCGTCATGTCTCCTTTTTTGTGCACGGGACACAAGATGCTGAGGTTACAATCATTGGGCATGCATTCTTCTAGCCAAATTGTACTAATCAGTGCATGCTCCTGACCAGCATCTGATCGCCAGTCTTGAATAGTTCGGCTTGTAACCATCGGCACCTGCTGCTTTATTATTCTTCAGCCGATTGATTGATATTCAGACTTCATATTTGCTATGTGGTATACACTCTATACCGTCATATATTATTGGTTCTGGGGTATCCTCTTCACCGCTACTTTTTGATACCAGAAGGTTTTCAAAATTCTAGCGTACTTAATTAAGTCTAGAATGGTGTGCGCAAAGTTTCGTAAAAATCGGTTGAGATTTAGATATAGCTCCCATATATAGTTTCGCTCGATTTTAGGTAAATGATGCACCAAGGTCCCTGAAAATCATTCGATTTGCACGAAATTTGGCATAGCGTACTAAATTAAGTCTAGAGTGATATATGTTAAACTCCGTGAAGATCGGTTCAGATTTAGATATAGCTCCCACATCTATCTTTCGATTTGCACGAAATTTGGCACAGCTTACTGTATTGAGCCTATAATGATGTGCGCTAAGTTTCGTGAAAATCGATTCGATTCAGATTAATTTTCGTGAAGATCGGTACATAGTGCAACAAAGTCCCTATATATCCTTCGATTTGCACGAAATTTGGCATAGCGTACGTAATTGAGCTTGGAGTAATGTGTGCCAAGTTTCGTGAAAATCGGTTCAAATTTAGATATAGCTTCCATATATATTTTCGTCCGACTTAATGTATATATATATATATTCCGATTTGCACGAAATTTGACATAGCGCACTGAATTGAGCCTGGAGTGATGTGTGCCAAGTTTCGTGAAAATCGATGCAGATTTAGATATAGCTCCCATATATAGTTTCCTCCGATTTTAGGCAAATTGTGCAACAAACTTTCAATATTTATTTCAATTGAGACACGATTTTGCAGAGCGTATTAAAATAGGTTCACATTGATGTATACGAAGGTTTGAGAAAATCGGTTCAGATTTGGGCGTGGATTTTTTTCAAGGGTTACTAAGGGCATGGCTTTTTTAAAAATATTTTTTCCATAGTTAAAGGTTTTTTCTTTATCTACAACAAGGTGTCCTTGTTGAATTTGCAATATCCGTGACCTTGAAATTCTGCATGCCACGGACACATTCTCGTTAGCGGAAAACTGCATTTTTTTCTTTTTTTGCATTTGATTACATCAAAACACATAGCCTTGATGATAGATATTTTAATTAACACCCTCTGAGTCTCAGTGCAGTAATTATACATCGCTTATGAAGTCATCATCATCATCACCCGGTACAGCAATGCCACAGGTTGAGGCGCAAAAAAAGTCCACAGAAGGTGGTTCAAAGCGGCAAATCGAGGTACTAGTGTATTTGAAAGCTATAAAATAGCCAACAGGATATGCAGTCACTTTTAGTTTAACGAAAATATTAAAGAATAACGTAAACGATGAAATAGTTCGGAAAATAGAAAAGATATATAACATTTCTTGAATAAGACCTCAATATGCCAGACAAATTACAACACCAAAAGAAAAACGTTGACAAAACTGGCTCCAATGATTCCGCCATTGGTTTGGAACATTCACCCAAAATCCGTAGGAACTCACTGCGGAAACATATCAAAGAAATCTATATGGAATTTTGTTCGAATACTTCCATCCATGGATTTCAATATTTTGGCCAGCATCGGCCACGCAAAGAAATCGCATTTTGGATTATAATTTTCATCATCACATTATATTTTTGTACAACGATTATTGTGAAAATCTATGTGAAATGGTCGGAAACCCCAGTGATAGTGAGTTTTTCGGAGAAATCAACACCCATCTGGAATATACCATTTCCCCGGGTAACCATATGTCCGGAGACGAAGAGGGCCATTAATAAGACAGGTAATTGTGTTAAAGCAGTAGGATACATTCGAATCTTAAATCTATTTTTAGGGAAATTAATTGGGCGCCAGTTGTTTTTTCTCTCTCTTCCTTTTCAGATCCCACCTACTTCGAGTTGGTACAAAAATTGGACACTTATATAGACAACGATAACCGTTCGTATTTTTCAAATTTTTCTCGTCACGACCACGAAGATATTCTAACATTAATGCAAATTTGTCAGTCCCGTATTGAGGGTATTCTCGCATTACCGGAAACAAGGGAAAACTACACCATCGACTATATCGGGACTTTAGATAAAATGTTGCCGGGCTTTCAAAAATATTTCTTCTCCTGTAATTGGTTTGGCAATCAAGTCAACTGCAAAGACCTGCTAACAAAAGTCTATACCGATGAGGGTATCTGCTATACCTTTAATAGCCTGAAAGCTGATGATTTATATCACGATCGGGTGGTGCGCTCACAAATGAGAAAAGAAAAGAACAACACAAAGAATGGCGGGCAGAAACTGGCCTGGTCATTGGAAAAGGGATATGCAGCGGGCAGTGATATTAACACCTATCCTGTGAGGGTGTTGAGTTCAGGTTCAGCGGCAGGATTTCAAATTACCTTGCAAACGTTTACCAATGAGACGGATTACACCTGCAACGGTCCGACCCAGGGTTTTAAGATAATGCTAAACTCGCCCGATGATGTACCCTCGGTGGTCAAACATTTTGTTCGAGTCTCCATGGATAGGGAAATTTTGGTGGCGGTTAAACCAAAAATGATTACCACTTCGGCGAATATTGAAGCATATCACCCTGAGAAGCGGCGTTGCTATTTGAACAAAGATCGCCAATTGAAGTTCTATAAAATCTATACCCAACGGAATTGTGAACGCGAATGTGTAACAAATTTCACCTATTCGGAATGTGGTTGTGTTAAATTCTCCATGCCTCGAACGGCCGATATGCCCATTTGTGGTGAGGATAAACTTTGGTGTTATCGTCGTGCCCGCGACAATTTGTTGATGAAACAATTTAAGGAGGGTTTGGAACATTCCGAAGGCAATGGCGGTTGTAATTGTATGCCCGGTTGTACATCGCTGGAATATGAAACGGAAATTTCGGAGGGTAGTTTTGATTTGGTAAATACCCTCAAGGCTTTTGATAACTACGAAGATTATTATGCCTCATATCCGGGTGGTAAAATGTCTGTGGTACAAATCTATTTTAAGGATAATCAATTTATTACCTCCCGACGTTCGGAACTGTATGGTATAACGGAGTTGTTGGCGAATTTTGGCGGGGTCTTGGGACTGTTTATGGGTGTTTCGCTGCTAAGTGTGGTGGAAATTTTCTATCATTGTTCGCTGCGTTTGTGGTCGAATGTGAGACGAAATAATGGATAACTTGGGGGGTGGGAAATTGAGACCTGAAGAAAGGTTCTGATTGTCTAATAGTAGATAATTTTTAATAATAGTTTTAAGCCTACCAAATTAATTGTATACACTTCTAATTGATTTAAAATAAAATTTTATTTATTTTTGATTCAAAATCGTTTAAAGCAGTAATTACATTCGAATTTTTCCGGACCGAATTTTCATTGACGGTTTCTGTCCCAAATCAGATCACTAAAACCATCATTTGAGGTCTCTGAAAACTTTTGTAGCTTCAGCTGGAAATTTACAGATACATTTGTAAACCCGCCTTGGAACCTATATAAATTGCTACCCCCTATTTGGCAAATATATTTGTAAACCAGCCTTGGAATGTGAACTCTAGAGGGATAGGTTAATAAATTGCTATCCTCTACGTACTCTTCTTCTTTGGGGTTCGTAGTCGAGGAACTGAGTGTAGAATAATTTTAAGACCCTGAATCGCCCTACTAAAGATGTAGTCAAACTCCAGAAGGAAACTGCTTTCCTCTACTCATAGAGAAAATTTAACAGATCTATTGGTAATTTAAGCGTGGTTTTAAAAAAAATTTCAAGGGTTATCGAAGGCTTAGATTTTTTTTTAAAATCGTTTTTCAATTTTCCTATAAAAGGTCTCATGTTCTTGGCTTTGAAGCATTTGATTACGTCAAACACATATCCTTTGATGAGAGACATTTTATTTAACACCCCAGGTGGTAGGTACAGCGATAACACAGGTTATGGCAGGAAGTCATGCGAAGGTAAATACAAACTTCAAAACGGGGTACTGGTGTTTTTTCTAAACTATAAAATAGCCAGCAGGATCTAAAGTTGACGTTAGTTGTGAAGTGGGAACATTGGAGGATAGGGTAAAATAAG